TGAATCTTAAGCTTTGTTCATTTTGTTTAATTCTTTTTTTCTGATTATTCCTCCAACAGACTGGTGTTGAAAGATTTGTGTTTAACCTTGCTAATTCTGTGTTCCATTAATTCAGTTCTACCCCTTTGTCCTTCCAATGCATTATCCATTTCTGGAATTTTAGTATTAATCTTTAAGATTTCTATTTGCTATTTTTGTATGCTTTCTAATTTTCCACTTATGTTATCAATTTGTTCTTATATTGTTTTTTGAATTCTTCTAGAGTTTTGTCTATGTTTTACTCCAGCATTCTCTCAATCTGTTTAAGGTACCCAAGTATAATTATTTGTACTGTTACTGTATTATTTTGTTGGTTTGCTTTATCCTGGTTTTTTGTTTTGCTCTGTTTTAATATATCTAGGCAACAGGGTGGTCAGGTTACTCTGGTCACTAGTTTTCAGCATTAAAGCACTCACCACTTGTTTTTAGGCAGATTTCATAACAGGTGGCAGTGTAGGCAAGAGTCTCTGATCACTGATTGTGCAGAGCAGGTGAGGCCAGTTTGGGTAGATGTTAACTACTGTCTGTTGTTGATGCAGTAGTGCTGGAGTGTGTGGTGACATTACCCAGCAGGTATGGTTGGGTAGGGTCAGTGGCTCCAAACTGTTGGGGAAAGATAGAAAGAAAAAAAAAAAAAAAAACAGATAAGGGGAATTTAGGAGGGGAGCAAACAACAAAAAAAGGAGAGGTTAAAAGAAAAGAAAAAATAGAGATTGGAAACCTAAGAAGGAAGAAAAAGGAGAAGAGAAAAAAAAAAGAAGAGGAAGAAAAACAAATGACAACAGCAGAAAAAAGAAAAGAAACAAGTGGCAAGTGACAGCCACAAAACATAGCTGTGATAGAAATGTGGTACTCTCTCTGCAGGAGCACAAACCACTGAATATAGAGGATCAGGGACAGCACTACTGAACACGGGGGAGAGGGTGGACAAGGTACTCACTGAGCTGAATCAAAAAAAAAAAAAAAAGGAAGAAGAAGGAAAAGAAAAAACAATGGATAATAGTGTGGGGAAGTGGGAGAAAAGAAATATGGATGAGAAAAGCAATGGAGGGAAGAGGGAAGAGATGAGGGGAAGAAAGAAAAATAGAAAGAATAAGAAAATTGCTGCATGTGTTAGCTGCCAAGTACAGCTGCAGCAGGAACATGGAGAACTTACACTGCTGTCCAAGGAGGGATGACATGGGTGCTGCTGACCATGGAGGTGGACGTAGGAACAAAAAGAAAGAAATAAAAAATATATTTTAAAGGTAGAGTGGAGAGGAAAAAGGAAACAAAAAGAAAGAAAAGGAAAATAAGGGGTAGATGAGGGAGGGAAGGACTAAGGAGAAAGAAAAAGGAATGAAAAAAACAAAACAAAACACAGTACTGTCAAAAATACCAGCCACCAAACAAGCCTGTGACAGAGTGTGCACTTCCAAAAAAGAAGGGGTGTGGGTAGCAGGGGAGGGGTTCCTATTCTTTGATGATGATTGAAGAATGGAAGAACTAAGCAGAAAAGATTAAAAAGAAAAAAAGAGGCCCAGCACTGGCAATGGTAGTAGTTTGACCAGCCACAGTGTCGGTGGAGGTGGGGAGAGCTGTGTTTCTGGTCACTGAGAAATTGTGGGGAGGACATACCTCTCTGGTCGCCTGATCACTGGTGTATGTAACAATAGTACAGTACTGGACAAGTTCTGGTTCCTGCTCCAATCAGAGTGCTGCTTGCAGTAATTAAAAATGGCCATGCTGTGCCTATTAGCAGTTTACCACTTCTTGTTCACTGTTTTCTTTCAGTCTCTTCCTCTTCTCAGTGTTTGATCTACTTCTTTATCCTTTACTTTGAAGGTCTGGGATCCAGGATAGTTATCTGTAGCTGTTCCCTTCTTTTTCCGGGCCTCTATTGTAGAGGATCTGGGTAGTGTGTCTGCCTCGTCTGCCATCTTGGACCTGGAAGCCAAAAGGAATGTTTTTCTCAAGGCAGTAAGCATGCATTTCTGGGATGAAACAATTTAGAAAACAGTATTCAAAAAGTACAGTTGTCACCCATGCCTTGGAGTTACTCCTACAGTAGACTGGCAGCTTATTTTTGTCAGTATTTTTGAATGCTCATGGGTTTTCAGAATGGTAAACAATAAAAGGTCTTTAATTTAAATCCTGCAGCATTTTCTCCAAGCAGCAGTGCAATTTTGTCTTTATATGCCTTGAAATCAGACATCAACTTCACCACCACTTTGTTAGTATAGGTCCATTTTGGCATCTTTGTCCAAAACTAGCATGTTTCATTCATATTGCAAATTTGCTCTTGTACATATTCTTCATTTTGTATTATCTTGTATAGCCAGCTCATCATTTAATTTTTTGGGAGCTTCAAAATTGGGGCTTCCTGCTTCTCTATTGGTATGCATATTATGTAAGCCCAAATTTGCATTTGAAGCAATGAAATCAGCCCTTGCTGGTATTGAAAGTATAGTAAGTCCCTGGGTTATGAATGAATGAATGAATGACTTATGAACAATTTGTACTTGCCCTTTAATGTTATGTAAATTTGCTCACATTTTGAAATGATTAATGAACCCCTACTCACAACAAATTCTTCATCACAGTCACCTTCACTTGCTACACATGTAGCTTTTGAGTCATAAGCTTTGAGCCTTTTCTTGCACTAAAACCCAAAACCAAACCTAACTCACTGCCATAGAGTTGCTTTCAACTCATAGTGACCCTCATTGGGTTTCCAAGGCTGTAAATCTTTACAGAAACAGATTATCTCATCTTCCTCCTGCAGAGCAGTTTGTGGGCTTAAACCACCAACTTTCTGGTTAACAGCCAAAGAGACCTTACCCACTATGCCACTAGAGCTCCTTTTTTCCTTTCTTCACTAAAGTAAAGCTAAATAAGAACTGTCTGCAGCTGTTCTGACTTACCTACAAATTCAACTTAAAACACACTCAGGAATCAATCTTGTTCATAACCCAGGGACTGACTCTACTTGCAGCAGTATTCTCCTTTCTGTTCCTTCTGGTTTTCAAAAAGGCTGTGTTCTTTTGTTTGAATTGTTAGTAAACTCATGGGATTCCTCCTCTGGATTTGGTCTTCTATCCAAATCATCAATAGCTTTTCCATATCGTGGATTGGCCCTTGTCTTTTCTTTGTTGAAATTGTCAATTTTATGCCAATTGCTCCTTTCACTGACTCCAAAATCCTATTATTATCTTGAATGATTGCATTAAATGGTTGCATGAGATAGTCCTTCCTCACATGCTGTTTCACTGAATTTCTTTCCATTATCATAGATTCTTAATGATCTTCATGTTTATATCCAGCTCTAGAGCTTTTCTCATCATCTTTCAGTGGTATGACTTCTTTTTTCTAAACATATTGTTGGGGGTAGAAGCAATGCAGATGTTACAATTAGAGAAATTTGAACAACTTGGCTTCAAACTAACAACTGCTGCTTCTTATGGTACAAAACTCTGAATAAGATCTCGCTATAGGCCTTGCTTGGGAGCTCTCGTAGCATAGTGCCTAAGGCACTTGACTGCTACCAGAAGGCTGGCGGTTCAAACCTACCAGTCACTCCTTGGAAGGAAGATGGGGCAATCTACTTCCATAGTGATACTGCCTCGAAAACCCAAGGAGGGGTTGCTATGAGTCGGGTCTGACTCGACGGCAAATAACAACAACAACAATATAGGCCTTGCTTACAATGAAATTAGCTTCAGAGTCATAGCAATGAAGTCAGAGTCCTAATGGCTGTCAGGCATGTGTGCAGTTTAATTGTAGTATGTCATTAGAGTTGAACATTGAATATTGCCCAATTTCTGTTATGATGCCTGGCACTAACACAGACTTCACTGTAGAACAGGCCACAGCCTGCTATATGGTAGTGTTTTGAACAAGAAATCATAAAATTGAACATCTGTGTTGAACATCAAAAAATGATAACATCAATAAATTATGTGTCACAACATTGTATGTAGAACATGTTGCTAATGATAAGAAATCAAAAAAAAAAAAAAAAAGAGATAGTCATGAGTGATGAGTGTGGTTTGCCATAACTCTAATATATCATAGGTCAGGCACTATCTGTATATGATAAAGGTGTGTGGGTTTTAGAAAAAGAAACAATTTGTTCAACCTGAGGGAGTTAGGAAGATTTGATGTAACCTTAAAGATGAATAGGACTTAGTCAAGCGAAGAAGGGACATTTTTGGCCTTTAAAGAAGAGGATATATGAACATAGAGCAGGTAAAATGGACAGAAAATAAAAGGTATATTGGTATTATTAGAGTGTGAAGAAATAAGGGATAAGGTAGGAGATGGCACAGTCCTTGACTATGGATACTATGTTAAGGACATTTTTCTACACATAATAGGAAATCATTAATACTATTATTAGGGAAGTGATATTTTTGGATTTACTATTAGAGAGACTATTCTGGCAACATTGTAGAAGCTAGTTTGTGGGTAGTAGATTGGCATGACTGGAGGTAGGAAAAATTTGGAAGTTATTGTTTTGTTTTAGATGTGTGATAAGTGGTCATATTAGAGAATTATTAGAAGAAAAGGGACAGGTTTAAGGAATGTTTACTTGGTAGAATTGGCGAAACTTGGTGAATATTACAAGAAGGAAGATTAGATGATAGTACTATTAAATAGTATAAGAGAATATAAATGGAACAATGACTTTTTAATGAGAAAATATAAGGTCAAATTTACTCAGCTGTTAGACACATTCTTTCAGGTAGTACCACTTGTTGACTCATCAAGAGGATCTATAATGTTCTTAGTTATTATATTCTCATAGAGTTTTTCTTTCTCTTGAATGAGTTATTTTAAAAAAGAAGCTATGAAATTTAAACTCAGTAAATATATATAGTTGGAATTTGTAACTTATAATGACAAATTCATTTCAATTATTTCAGAATTCTTACAAACCCACCAAACTGAAGAATTTATAGGAGCTTCTGAAACTGAGCCAGGTAAGTGTTTAGTCTGTTGAAGGTATTAATTTCTATGATTTAAAATAGCAATTATTAGAATAACAACAGAGGTTCCCTGGAATGAGCCATACAATTGACCTGGCTTCCAGGCAAATATTGAAATTGCTAGTTAAGGGCATTGTGTTACCAAAATAATACTGATTTTCAGAGTTTCCTGCTAGTCCTTGGAATGGAGAATTTTGAATTGTGATTAGAAGATGCTACTGAAATGTTGCAGCATTTGAGGCAGAACATCAATAAATTTAAGAGATGGTTTATAGAGCTTGTTATTGGGAATTACATATATGGTCTCAAATCTTCCATTACTTTGACTGCATCTGAGTATCTTAGTTAATGAATATGAAGAGCTGCTAGAATTAGTACATCATATTTCTGTCTGCTTGTCAAGAGAAAGGAGAAATGATTAAAAAATGGGCAGAAGACATGAATAGACACTTCACCAAGGAGGATATTCAAGTGACCAACAAACATATGAAGAAATACTCACGACCATTAGCTATTAGAGAGATACAAATCAAAACAACAATGAGATACCATCTTGCTTCAGCACTAGTAGCAAAGTTCAACGAGACAGAAAATAACAAATGCCGGCGAGGTTGTGGAGAGAATGGGACTCTGATACGCTGCTGGTGGGACTGTAAAATGGTACAATCATTGTGGAAAGCAGTATGGTGATTCCTTCAAAAGTTGGAACTAGAAATACCATTTGACCCAGCTATTCCATTACTAGGTATATATCCTAAAGAAGTGAGAGCCATGACAAGAACAGACATATGCACACCCATGTTCATCGCAGCACTATGAAACAACCTAGGTGTCCATCAGCTGAGGAATGGATAACCAAACTATGGTATATACACACAATGGAATACTATGCAACCCTAAAGAATAATGTAGAATCTGCAAAACACCGCATAACGTGGATGAACTTGGAGGACATTATGCTGAGTGAAATAAGTCAATCACAAAAGGATGAATATGGTATTAGTCCATTATTGTAAAAGTCAAGGAAATGCTTATCTATGAAAGGACATTTTCTTTGTTGGTTACCAGGGGTGGGAGGGCAGGGTAGAGAATACAGTTAGATAGAGATAAGTTTTGATTTGGGTGAAGAGAAAGGCAATGTACCAAATGTGAGTGATTAATACAGTGGCATTGAGGAAGAGAAAGAGAGAGGTACATGAGAGGTACAGATAACAAAGATGAACCCTTTTGCACATATAGTATGGTATTGTCAGTGAAGACAAATATGGGTATATGGGTGGATAGATGGGTGGACAGGCTGAACTATTAGGTATGTCTATGAAGTGGGGAGTATACTCAAGAACATGTATATGGTTGGCAGACAATGGTCCTATAAGTTTATGTGTATGATCTGAATTCCCAGGTGTATAGAAGAGCTGAAAAGGAGCAAGGTTATAGTCACTGCTTGGTCACAGCCAGCTACCAAGAGGGACTGAGTAGTTGAACATGTGTGCTCGGGACCATAGTCACAGGGGACATCAAGCTCAATTGGCATAACATATTATACAAAACATTGTTCCACCTCCTACTTTGACAAGTAGCGACTGGGATCTTAAAAGCTTGCAAACTGCCATCTAGATAAAACAATGGGTCTTTCCTCATCCAGAGCCAAGAAGAATGAAGAAAACCAAAAATGCATGGAAACAATTAGTCATAGAGACTGATACACTATCCAATCTGCAGCCTATACGACTATGAGACCAGAAGAACTATATGGAGCCTGGCTACTACTGTCAACCACTTGTAACGGGATCTATGTAGAGAATCTTGGATAGAGAGGGAGAATAATGTGGCACAAAACTTAAAATCACTTGGAGAAAAAAAAAAAGGTGGGGACCAGGTCAGCTGGTCTGATAGAGCCTGGTGGAACCACTTAGACTATGGCCCCTAGCTTCCCTTCAGGTCTGGAATTGAACCCACACCTGTGGCTTCCAGCCAATAGACAGGCATATGAGCTGATCATTTCCCTGAGATAGATACACTCCTTGGAGAGAGCAATCATGGGAGAAAGAAGGGCTGCTTATGCACAAGGAGACAGCTCAGGGGGCAGGAGTACATGGAGCGATGGACACTGGGAAGAGGTAACTATTGGGAGGAAGTAGGAGGGGAGATGTTGCATTGTGGTAAATTGTGGTCAATGTCATGAGACAAAGTATATGTGAACTGCTGTATGGAAAGTGAATTTGCTCTGTAAATTTTCACCCAAATCACAATTAAAAAAAAAAAAGAAAGGAGAAATGACCTTGTTAATATGGAGTTTTGAAATAATCATGTAACTTATTCTATAGAATAGAGTTTAGAATTAAAATAAGATTTGGTTGGAAGAAGTTGCTGAGAATTGTACCCTCTTTCAACTTCAGTTTTAAACCCTATTGTTGCCATGTTTAAACCAATGACAGTTGTACATTTCATAGTATTCCCAAGTTGTACAGAGATGTCTGATCAAAGAGAACCCTGACTGGGTGTGAAGGTATGAAAGGAAGCTAGGGTTTTGTAGGGGAGAGTGAATGAAAGTCTCCATATCAACGAGAACTCTGCAAATATCCGGCATAGTTGCTCTCTCTCTAGGTGTCTTCTCACTGACACTATGCCTTGCAAACACTAGCTTCCTTGACCTCCCCAAACTCTGAACTTTGTCTACTTAATGGAAGAAGTACTTTACTCTATTTGGTTTCTCCTTCCTTATGCAGCCTAGAAACTCTCCAGTCATTAAGCTGGGATCATCATAAGACTCTTCTCATTTGTTTTCCTTCAGTCAGGGATCACTGCCTTGCACTTATTATTTTCAAGGTTGTGAATACCACTGTTTTTGTCCAGTTTTTAACTGGGTTAAGGTGGAAGAGTAATTGATTGGAATATGATGCTTTCTCCATCATGGACAAAAGCAGAAATCCCTGTGGCCAGTCACAGGTTTGGAAAACATCTTCCAACTATAAGCCTAAATTTCAGTAAAGTCAAATAGGGTAGGGGTTTTGCTCAAGATTCTTAAAGGCAGAAAAAGACAAGATATTGCAAAATATATAGAAAAAATATCTACAGATTCCTAAAAAACCTTTTTCCATGGCCACTACCTCAGTTCCAGGACTCTACTATTATAGATCTACTCTCAATCATGCTTTGTTTCACTTGTTTACTCTTTCTTTTAAAATTATCTCATCATCTTCTCCAGCCAAACTTTATTCTTATCTTCCCTTCCTATTCTCTTAATTCTATTAGATTTCATGTCCTACTCAGCAAGACAAAAGCTAGCTCTGTACTGTACTATGTGTATTTATTTATTTATTAAATTGTGATTTGGCTGAAAGTTTACAGAGCAAATTAATTTTCTATTCAATAACCCACACACATTCTTTTTGTGTGACATTTACTGCTATCCCCACACTGTAACAGGATTCTTCACACTTCCTTCTGTACTCATCCCTTTCTTTTGTTCTTCCTTCCCATCCCCTCTCAACTTGCTAATTCTATCCCTGAGCAAATGCTGTCCTCTTATGCTTGATTTTTCTAATGAGTGCATACCCTCCTGATATTACTGTTCACAACTGGTGGTGTAGTGCCTAAGGCATTTGACTGCTAACCAGAAGGCTGGTGGTTCAAACCCACCAGCCACTCCTTAGAAGGAAGATTGGGCAATCTACTTCCATACAGACACCACCTCAGAAACCCAAGGAGAGGTCAGTATGAGTCTAATAGACTCAATGGCAATGAGTTCAGTTCAGTTAGGTTGGTCTGTATATTGTTTTGCTGCCAATTGAGTTATGGGAATCAAGTTCAGTTACTAGACTGAAGAGTGTTTAAAGGCCATAGTCTCAGGGGTTCCACCAGCTTTCATCAGATAAGAAAGACTGGTCTTTTTTATGACTCTGAGTTTTGTTCCACATTTTCCCCCACTCTATCTGGGACCTCTTATTGTGATCCTTTTCAGAGTGGCCAGCAGTGGTAGCCAGGCACTATCTAGTTCTCTGGTCTCAGTATCATGGAGTCTGGAGTTCACGTGCTCCTTTAGTCCTTTGGACTAATTATTCCCTGTATCTTTGATTTCCTTCCCTCTTCTTTGTCCCAGATGGGGAGAGACCAATAGTTACACCCTACATGGCCACTCACAAGCTTGTAAGACCCCAATTACTACTCACCAAAGTAGGATGTAGAACATTGTCTTTGTGGATTATGTTATGCCAGTTGACCTTAGTGTACCCTGAGACAATGGTCTTCCATATGCAGTGAGTCTCCATATCCAGTGACTCATTCCCTCAAGGTATTTGTTTATGATTAAGATGTTTTCATAACTTTGTCACCTGTATGCTGTACTACATTCATAGATATATTTGTAGCACATGTAAATATATAGGCAGTGATAGCTTCTGTTGAACCTATATATATTCATGGATATAGTACCATTCACTGACATCCCCCCATGGGTAGCTCAGTTGGTATAGTACACTCAATCTCAGGGTCATGAATTCATGCCCTATGTTGGGCATGCACTCTGTTCAATAATTGTTGTTGTTGTTGTTATGTGCTGTGGAATCAAACCTGACTCATAGCAACTCCTCCTTGGGTTTCCAAGGCAATATCACTATGGAAGTAGATTGCCCAACCTTCCTTCCAAGGAGTGGCTGGTGGGTTTGAACCATCAGCCTTCTTGTTAGCAGTCAAATGCCTTTGACACTCCACTACCAGTGCTCCTCTGTTCAATAATAGTGATAACAATTACTTATGAGGAGATGCATAGATATATACTCAATCTGCACTATGTTTTATACAAAACTACAATGACTTGTTCCTTAATCTTACCCTTTTGGGGTCTCAATTTATTCTATCCTCAAAGCAATTAGGATGAATCATAAAACAAAACAGTCCCTTGGGGTAGTCCTTCATTGGAGTTTTACAAGAAGTCACAATAATTTTTAGGATAAAATATGTGAAAGAGAGGGAAATATTCTCTGATATCAGTT